TGTAAAACTTATGTACTCCCATGTAAACTATCACTCAATTCACAATAAAAACTGGAAAAAAAAAAATTCACTGGTTCCTGGAAAAGGACATCATGCATAGCAATGTAGCAATGCAGAGAGACATTGAAAGTGATGAAAACACTCAATGAGGTTGATTGACACAGTGACTACAACAATGGACTCAAACATAGCAGTAATTTTAAGGATGGCAGAGGACCTGATAGTGTTTCATTCTGTTGTTCAGATAATCACTATGATTCAGAGCCAACTAAATGGCATGTAGCAGCAACAGTTTAATTTGATATGAACAAGGAACATACATACAGTTTTCTAGGGAAAGATTCACTTATATTTTTCAAAGAAGTAAGAGAGAGAAATGGATTCAGTTTACCCAGTCTTGTTCTGTGTTGTTGTTATGTGCCTTTGAATTGGTTCTGACTCTTAGCAACCTTATATAGGGTTTCAGAGGAGCAGTTTGTGAATTTGCACTGTTACTGGAGTCACTCTGAAGGAGTTTCCAAAGCTACCCAGGTTGTAACAAAGGAAGTACTTTTATTGTGGTGACACATCGCTCAGTGGATTCCTATCCAGAGACTGAGCTCCATCTTCCCTGTTTGAGAATATTTTACAAGGAATAGGAGAGTGCATGCATGACTCAGTTTACGATTGGTTAGCAGGGACCAACAGTGAGACTAGGCTACCAGGGATTTGCAGGTTCAAACACTGGATAGAGAAGAGTGTAGGAGCATTCAAGGGAGCAGCAGGTAATCATTAACCTGGGGCTTTTTTCCCTCCCAGAGGTGGGTCAGGAATTGCAGATTAGCCTGGGTAATCACAGGAGGCTAAGGTGATCTGTTGCTTAGTTTTGGGAATGTGAACTGTGCTCCAGGTATGAGGTATTAGCCTGGGGGACATGGGGGCTAGCCCCTATTTCCACAGGCCTGCTTGCTTCAGAACCACCAACTTTTCAGTTTAAACTTAACTCTGGGTTCCGGGCATTATCCCACAGCACAACAACAGGACTATATAAACGTAACCCATTGGAAGTTCTATTCTTAACATTTGACTTGGAAGTGTATTGAAAAGCTTGTGTATTCCAATATTCCGTGTTTTATGTTGTTGCTGTTTTGGAAATGGTAACTTAGCCTATGCATTTAGATTTTCAATTTAGTTTTAATATTTCCCCATAAAATCTTGCAGTCATATTTGTAATTAATAATTAAATGACACAATTTTATTTATATTCTCATTGAAAAATATATTTGCTTGAAAAATGTATCTTCTTATACATAGAATTTCAATTCAACCTACTGCTTTTGTTTTTACACATGAAATTTTCTAATGCTCTTCTTAGTTTAATGACTCCATTATAAATTCTAAAAATATTATCAACTCAGATAACATCAGTTTTGTTTCCTCTTTAAAATGATGGCATGGTTTTTGGTCATAATTTGAAGATATGAAAGTCCTCTTCATTTCCAGCTTGTATGAATTACACTATAAACTAGAAGTAACAAGAGCAGACTTAGGTTTTGTTAGTTATTCTATGTTTTAATATATTGCAGTTGAATATAGGAAAGTGTGGCTACTCTGTAAGGTAAACACAGGAGAATCAGCAAACTTCCTACTCATGCAAAGATTTACAGCCTCAGAAAACCCATGCAGGGTTTCTTTGAGTCAGAATAAACTTAAGCACACATAAAAGCACCAACAACAGTTTTATTTAAGAATTTAAGACCTTCTTTGTCTGTATGAACAGATGGTGGTAAAGTCCAATGTTATCAGCCAAAACTAAGCTAGGGGTAGATTGTGTGACAGACCATAATTTGTTCATATGCAAGTTCAAGCTGAAGCTGAAGAAAATGAAAAAAAATATCCATAAAACCCAAAATATGACTTTGACTATATTCCAACTGAATTTGCAGACCAATTTCAGAACAGACGTGATTCACTAATGACCAAAGATCAGAAAAGTTGTGGGATGACATCATGAAAAAGGCAGGAAAGAAAGAAAGATTAAAAATTATGTCAAAAGAGATTCAAACATGTTATTGAACAGGAAAAGGCAAAAACCTTCACTGCCCTCTCCACCCAGGAAACAAGCTAGAATGTTAATCAGGTTACTGATCTGGACCAACCCTCTGGTTTCCCTCCTGTCTTCAGACAGGTCTGAAACCTAACCCATCCCTGATTCTAAGCCCATGTAAGCCTGCACTGCTCTGCATTCAGGGTTCAGAATCTGGAGAAGCTAGCTCCTCTGAGCCAGCTGGCTTAATAAAATCTGAAACTCTGCTTCACATCTCTGAGTGGCCTCAGTTTCCAAAACGATAGATCAAGAGCTGCTGTGACACTCTTGGGCCTAGAGCTGCTGTAACACTCTTGAATCTAAAACTGCTGTATCATTTTATCAGGAGGGAAGAGTCCCAGGATAAGAATATCATGCTTGGTAATTGGAGGGTCAGTGAAAAAGAGGAAGACACCAGTGACATGGAATGACACATGGAATGAGCAATGGGCTCAAATGTAATAACATGAATTGTCAGGGTGAAGCAGGTCCAGGCAGTTGTACATAATTTCCCAATGAGTTTGATTGGACTCAAAAACATCTAAAAACATAAACTTTTGTTAAAATTTTAGGAGAGTGATTTTTAAATTTTGGATGAGAATTATTGATTTTTTTTTCAAATATTGTTAGGTGTCATTGAGTCCATTCCGACTCATGGAGGTTCTATGCACAACAAAACGTAACACTGCCTGCTCCTGTGTCATCCTCACAATTGTTATGTTTGAGCCCACGGATGTGGCCAATGTGCCAATCCATTGCATTGGGGTCTTCCACTATTCGTTGATCCTCTACTTTACTAAGCATGATATCCTTCTACAGGGACTAATCCCTCATGATTATTGCTGTTAAGTGCCGTCGAGTCAGTTCCAACCTACAGTGACACTATACAGGGTTTCTGAGGAGGAGCTGGTGAGCTTGAACTGCCAATCTTGCAGCTCAAACAGCTTTGAAGTCTGGCGCATTAACCCATAGCACCACACCAGGATTCCCTCATGATAGCATGGCCAAAGTATGAGAGACAAAGTCTCCATCCTAGCTTTTAAGGAACATTCAGGCTTTACTTCTTTCAACAAACAAATGTTTGTTCTTATGGCAATCTCTGATGCTTTTAATAATCTTCTCCAATAGCATAATTCAGAAGCATGAAAATTCTCTACATTCTTCTTATTCATTGTCTAGCATTCACATACATATGAGGTGGTTTAAAATACAATAGGTTGGGCTATGCACACCTTAGTCCTCAATATGATACCTTTGCTCTTTAAAGAGGCCTTCTACTGCAGATTTGCCTAATGCAAATGATTTCCTGACTGCTGCTTCTATACGTGTTGATTGTGGACCCAAGCAAAATTAAGTCTTTGACAACTTCAATCCTTTATCCCTTTATCATGTTGACATTTATTGGTCTAGTTGTGATGATTCTTGTTTACTTTAAAGATTTAGGTGCACTCCATATTGAGACCTTAGATATTATTCAGTAAGTATTTTAAGTCCTCTTCATTTCCAGCTTGTATGGATTGCCAAGCACTTCAAGCTTGTAAGAATTACCTAGCACAGCTTGTTGATGAGTCTTCTTCTAGTATTGATTCCATGTTCTTCTTCATATAATCCAGCTTCAGGGCTTTTTAGTTTATCACACAGGTTAAATAAGTATGGTGAAAGGATTCAGTTCTAGTGCACACATTTCCTGATTTAGAAACATTCAATGTCTATCTCCTTTTTCTATTAAAATGACTGCCTCTTGGTTGGAGTACAAGTTTCTCATGAGCACAATTAAATGTTCTGGAACACCCATTTTTGCAATGTTATACATAGTTTGTCATGATCTACACTATCGAGAGCCTTTGAAAAATCTATAAAGCACAAGTAAACATCTTTCTGGTATTTTCTGTTTCAGCCATGATCTATCAGTCTTGCCATCCTGGCTTCTAAGGAGTATTCTGTCTGTAATCCTTCCAACACAGATTTGTTTGTTCTTCTGGCAGTCCACAGTACTTATAATATTCACCTCCAACACCATAACTCAAATGAGTCAGTTCTTTTACAGTCTTCCTTATCCTTTGTCCAAGTTACATATGTAAATGAGGCAACTGAATATACCATGGTGTTTCTCAGACTCTCCACAGTCTGCAAACTGGCATATTTTCTCTTGAACACTTTAGAAAGTGATTTCCTGACTGCTGCTTCCATGAGCATTGATAGTGGATTAAAGCAAAAATGAGTGGTTGTTTTTTCAACTTCAATCTTTTCTTCATTTGTTTTGATATGCTTTATTGTCCCAGTTGTGAGGATTGTGTTTTCTTTATGTTGAAGTGCAAACCACACTGAAGTACATGGTCACTGATCTTCATCACTATTTCATGTCCTCTTTGCATATCCCAGTTAATGAGTGTTCTTCCAATTCTGATGTCATTTTCTTCTTCATATAATCCAGTTTCTTGGATTATTTGCTCAGCGAACAGATTGAATAACTATGTGCAGTAGATTTGCCCAATGCAACACCTCCTTTGATTGTTTGATTGCTGCTTCCAAGATTTGATAGTGGATTCAAGCAAACCGAAATCTTTCACAACTGCAACTTTTTCTCCATTTACTGTGTTACTAATTATTGGTCCAGTGGTGAGGATGTTTATTTTCTAAACATTGAGGTACAACCTATTCCGAAGGCTGTGTTCTTTGATCTTCATCAGTAAGTATTTTGTTTTATTGGCTTTCAGTAAACAAGGTGTTTCACCTGTATATGGTGGGTTGTTAATGAGTCTTCCTCCAATCCTGATCTCCTTCTTCCTATATTGTCTTAGTCTGAAAGCGCATATGAAAACTGTCTACCATTGTATTTACAATACTGTTGGCATTAAAAATACCTGTGGCATAGAATCCATAATCACAATGACATACAAGCCACCACAGTAAAGCAAATTGACATGTGGATCCTGAACTTAGAGATGAACAATAGGTTGTCTATTCCACAGTCTGCCTTTATTCTTTGGTCTGAGGATATGGAACTTTTCCACTGTCTCTTTCCATATATGTAGACAATTTGATATCTGTGCATTTCACCTTATGAAGTCTATGTGTATATTCAGCTCTTTTATTGCTTGAAAACATTATTTGCATAACAATTACAATGAAGAAGTCATTGTTCTTGCAAATTTTTATTATGTAGTCTCCAGCATTGTTTTTATCCCTAAGGCCAAATTTCCCAACTACATATCCTTCTTTTTGTTTCCAACTTTTTCATTCCAATTATTAATACATCTTGATCACATGTTTGATCAATTTAAGACTGAATAAGTTGGTGGAATTCTTCAATTTTATCATCAGTGGCTTTATTATTTGGTACATAATTTTGAATAATAGTTACATTAACTGATTTTCCTTGAAGGCACATTGTTATTATCCTGTCATAGTCAGCATTATACTTGAAGATAGATCTTTAAATAATAATTTTTTTTAATTTCATTTACCTCATTCCTCTTCAATTTATTTTTCCCAGCATAGTAAACCGTGTGATTGTCAGATCAAATTGGTCAATACCAGTCCATTTCACCTCACTAATACCTAGTGTATTGATGTTTATGCATTCCATAACATTGTTCCAAAACATGTGGTCCATCTTCAACTTATAGGGCTGTCTATTGCTTTGCTGGAAGTTAAGTCACTGGACTATATTAAAATACTAAAGGTTGTCCAGACTCTAGTTAGAATGTTTACTCCTGTTTCTTTCAGACTAGTATATTTTGTCTTTTTAAAAATTATTTTGAGTTTTGTTCCACATTTTAAATCCACTCTATCTTGGATGTCCTATCGTGATCTCTTTTAGAGTGGTCAGCAATGTTATCTGGTCACCATCTAGTACTTCTGATTGTAGTTAATAGATTTTTATTCAAGCAAAAATAGTTTTTCAAGCTCTCATGCCATTAATATCATTCACATCTCCTTTTCATCTTTACTGTTGTTCACTTAACATCATCTGTTACCTTTGTACCTAAAAAGACAAAAACAAAACAAAAGAAAAAAACCCATAAATGAAATTGAAGATATAATAACTGAAGATGTTAATTCCATTAGTTATCTTCAAATTATTTTTGTTACCTTAGATACCTTACTTAAATTTCTTTGCTTTATTTACATCATCTTTATGTAAGCAGTTTTAATAAAGAGCTTTCCAATAGTCTTTCTAATTATAAAGTTCTGTTACCCTTCTGTAAAATACTTGAACGCTTGCTAAAATCAAATCATACTAAAAACTACTCATAAGTAGTTTAATGATGAGTTTTGTTTTTCATGTTTTATTAGAGTGGTTAAGGAAAATTTGTTGTTGCTGTTAAGTGCCATTGCAACTCATAGATACCTTTTATAGGGATTCCAAGGAGTGGATTATTGGTTTGAACCGCAGATCTTATGCTTTGCTATCTAGTGCTTATCCTATATTGCCACACCAGGGATCCGTTTTAGGGAAATATAAACATGTAAAACAAAAGTGTATAAAATTTCTCAAAGTTTTTATTTTGTTCTAAATTGATTGGATGGACTATTACCTTGTTTCTTTTTTTTTTTTCTTCCACATTAAGCAAACTCATAAGTAATTTCTGTGAATGTGATAATATCCATTAGACATTTCAAAACTCCTCCCAGAGTATGGATACACAGAACAATCCAGTAATGAGTATTCCACATGTATATATTCCAAAAGGTGTACCCAGAATCAAATGAATATAAATTATTCTAAGAGCAAGTATATTTCAGTTACTCTATGAAGCAGAAATGGATTTAAGATTTTATTTTACTTTAATGTATACATAGATATGCTTGTGTTTATATGTAAATATAATTTCATATTGACTAATTTAAATGTATTAGTCAATAACGAATATACACAAATAAAGATTACTAGTATCCTCATGGAATTTTGTCTATTCTGGGAAAGAATATTGAAAAAATCAATTGCAATAAAATATGTATAAATAAGAGGTTACAAAAGGTGGAGTGGAAGTTCCAAGTAGATGCAAATACTCAGAGAAGGCACAATGAGGTCTATATTATTTGAGGTTATTAATGAAAAAAAAGTTCTACTTGCAAGAATATTGACTTAACTGGTAGCACCTTTTTATTAGCAAATTGGCCTACTGCTGAAAAGCTGTTTCTCTTCAGATAGTTTGTTGTTGTTATGTGCCGTGGAGTTGGTTACCTGTACAGGGCTTCTGAGGCTGTCAATCTTTGCAGGAGCAGAAAGCCTCATCTTTCTCCCATGGTAGTTTTGAACTGCTGACCTTGTGGTTCACAGCCCGATTTGTAACCACTATGCTACCAGAGTTGTTCACTCTTCTACAATCGTTAATATCATTTCCAGAATTTAGTCATGAAGATATAGCAAAGTGAAATAATAATAATTTTTGTAGTTTTGAATGGGCACAAACTTCTAAATTTTCTTCCACTAGCCAGTAGTGAATTGAACATTGTGCATGAGCTCTAGAATAACCTGGAAGTATTGGCAAGTTATAAAGGGAACATTCTGTGAAAGTAGCCATAAAGAATATATTATTAGAAATTGTTGCTTTTACTGAAAAACTAAGTCAGAGAAATGTAGAGCATAAGAAGTTAGTAACCTGAAATTAGAAAATATAAATTAAAAGTAAGCTGTAATTAATTAACAAATCAAAAGTCAATCATTATAGTTAACTATAACAAGGGTAGACTGAGTTTTCATGTTTATGTACTTTGGAATAATTCCTTATTCATGTCTATTGCTACAGGAGTCCTGGTGTGATGTTGTGGGTTAATGTGCTGGACTGAAGATCATTTGAATTCTGGCTTCGTTGGTTCAGGTTCACTAGTAGCTCCTCAGAAACCCTATACAAGTTTGATATGGGTCAGAACTGACTTGACGGCACTTAACAACAACAACAACAATCAGATACAAGTTCACTCATATTGTGAATAGTTAATGCAATCTGATTAGTTCAGGATGATATTTCCATGTCCTTATCTCTATTGTTGTTGTTTCTGTTCAGTGTCATCAAGTCAGTTCTGAGTCTTTAGTGACCTTATGCACAACAGAATGAAACACCGACCCCCAGTCCTGTGCCAATCTCACAATTGTTGCTACGCTTGAATTCATTGCTGCTGCCACTGTGCCAATTCATCTCACTGGGGATCTTCTTTTTCACTGACCTCCACTTTAACAAGCATCATGTCCTTCTCCAGGGACTGGTCTCTCCTTACAATATGATCACAGTATGACAGATGAAATATGGCCATCCTGGCTTCTAAGGAGCATTCTGGCTGTACGTCTTCCAACACAGATTTGCTTGTTATTCTGGCAGTCTGTGGTACTTTTAATATTCTTCTCCAACACTTAAATGTATCGATTTCTAAGGTCTTCCTTATTCATGAAACCTTCATATACATATGAAACTTTCATATACATATAAGGCTATTGAAAATACCATTGTTTGGGTCAGACACACATTATTCCTCAAAGTGACATCTTTGCTCATCAACACTTTAAAGAGATCTTGTTCAGCAGACTTGCCTAATGTAATATTTTGTTTGATTTCTTGACTGTTTCTTCCACGAATGTTGAGTTTCCTCAAATAAATGTATTTTTATATAAAAAAATGGTTATAAATGATTAGCTGAACCATTTACTGAAATTCTGGAAAGATAATATTGATAGGCCAATCTAATAGTCTTGTTACTTTTTCCTTCTCCACATTATTCCACGTGATTGTAAATTTAATAAATTCCATTTCCAGGGTTCGATATGTGCTCACCTGAAGTAGTATACATGAAGGGGCTTAACTGTTTTAAATTAAAACTCAAGTGGAAATTTGAACAGACTACAAATAAAATAAAAATTTCATTTATCAATGGCATATAAGGTGTATGCAATAATTTGGAGTCCTGGGTGGGACTGTGGTTAATGCACTGGTCTGTAAAGTCAATTTGAACCACAAGATTGGCAGTTCAAGTTCACCAGCCACTCCTCGGAAACCTTATACAGAGTCGCTATAGGTTGGAACTGACTCAACGGCATGTAACAACAACAACATGCAATGTTTCAAGTAAGTCAAAACATGCTTAATATTATTTTCTTCTAAGGAGACTAAATGTATCAACTACAAAAGATAAATTGATTTTTTTTTTTTAAATGTAAAATATTGCAAAGATCTGAAAACTTACCAAAGAACAACTGGAAAAATTGACACCATTTAGTTGAAAATTGGGTTACAAGGGTGAATTCCTTTCTAGTCCTGAAGGGTGGTAAAGAGTCATAGTTTTAAGTTCCTCCAGTCTCTTGCTGATCAGTAAGCACAACCTTTTTTTTTTTTTTTTTTTAAATATTCTGAAGGTTTGCTCCACATTTTTTTCCATTCTATCTGGGACCTTCCAATGTGATTACTTTCAGAGCAGTTGGTAGTGGTTGTCAGACACCAACTAGTTCTCTGGTATTCACCGTCATGGAGACTGATGTTCATGTGTTCCATTAGACCATTGAACTAATTGATTAGAAGCCTTGGATAGGTTTATGTGATGGACGACAACATTAATGAGGTATGCTTACTAAAAGGTTCAGAAACTTTGGGAAAGAGGGCTGGATTGAAATAGGAGACACAGGGAGGTAAGTGGATAAGTGGTGTTACATGAAGGATATTGCAATCATTGAGATAAAGCAAAGTGTGTGATTTGCTGGATGTAAATTTATTACCTTCTCTGTAAACCTTCATTCAGTTCAACTGTGGCAATGTAGGATAAAGCACGGGATTGAAAGATCAGTTTGAACTGCAAGGTTAGAGGTTCAAATTCACCAATCGCTTTTCAGAAACCTGATAGCCCTTAACAACTTTACACAAACACATATATGTTTTGTTGTTAAGTGCCATAGAGACCGTGTATAGAGTTTCTAAGGAGCAGATGGTGAGCTTGAACCACCGACCTATGGTTCAAAGTGACTTTGCTGCCCAGTGCATTTGCCCACATCACAACACAAGGACTATAGAGAGAGAGAGGGTGCTCTGGTTAAGCGAAAGCTCTAGGGGTTAGGAGTAGGACTGTTCAGCAATTCAAAAATCCCAGCCAGAAATGCAGGGGAAAGAAAAGGCTTTCTGCTCCTGTTGCTCCTGTAAAAATTTACAATCTTGGAAATCTTATGCAGGGTCGCTACAAATTGGAACCTACTACATGGCACACCACCACTATCTCTCTATATGTGTATCCCTATATCTGTCTATACATCTTGGAAGTGTGTTTTGAGCCAACTCTGCAAGAGAATAGAAAGACGAGGCTTTTTTCTCCCACGATGATTTAACGTTTCAGAAACCCTATATAGGGTCTTTATGAATGACAACAGACTCAATAGCATACCACAACATATATATATATATATATATATATATATTCATAACTAATGTTGCAATAAATATCTTTGTATGGTTGGCCCAACCCATGGTATACTCTAATTCTCTTCTGGGTTCAATAATTCATTACAATGGCCACACATACCTCAAACACCATACTCACAGTTATGGGGTTCATTAGGAAAATGATCAGATTACAATTTGGGGCCAGAAATACTCAAGGCACAGTTCTTAAAATTGGGACAGCGTTGCCTCAGCCATACCCACAAATAGACTTCTCTCTGCCAAGCCAATGTTACAATGATCTTTGAGGACTGCTGATTAATGCCCACAGGACACATCACTACAAAATTAGCCTCAGCCTGAAGACACTTGACTACATGGATCAGCAAACCTAGTTACCCAGTTATGTATTTGGAGGTACCCCACTATGTAAGCAAGTCTCCTGCACAGTCACTCAGCATAGCTTTCTTTGTTGGCTGGGAAGCCCACCATTCAAGCCCACTTGCTCGTGCTTCTGGTGATTTTGCTCCTTTGCCATTCCTCCAGTGTCACATTTTTCTTTCCCTTGGTCAGGAGGACTTAGAGGTCAAATAACTCACTTTACTCTGGCTGCTATTGCATTACAGTAAGATCCCTCATTCCTGCTTCTGAAATGGCTCATTTTATACAATCAGGATGTAAAAATTGACAACTCACAATTACCCTTGTAATTATCCTCACCAGAGAATCATATTATCCATCAGCATCTTCCCTCAACTTCTCTTGTATATACCCATCAGGAAAAAGGCATTTGATGGGAATTTATGTAAAGACTATGGTTAGAAAAATCATTAAATTATTTATTGCACCACAAAGACTATCCTATTTAAGATGTGTTTGTATTCTAATCACTAAATTTTACAAGATTTTGAGTTTAAAAAGAGTGGAAATAGGAAAAATAATAATCACACATCTGGCTAGTTAGCTATGCATTATATAATCTGCAATTAATCTTAATCTATATTAATCTTAATAAAAAAATGGAAGCCCTTGTTAAGTGAATACTGACCAGGGACTAGAAATAATTCAGACTACACGTTCTCCTAATGTTATTTTTTGTGCCTCAATATCAACTTTCAGATACCTACATAATAAAGTTATATTGATTCTAGACAAAGAATAATTAATGTATTTAAAGATATCATTTTTGAGATTTTATATCAGTTAGCCTACCTACCAATTTATTGAAAACATCTCTTAGAGATTCTTTGACTTTTTCATTCCGGAGGCTGTAGATGAAAGGATTCAGCATTGGTGTTACAATAGTATTCAGTACTGTGGCAAATTTGTTAACATCCATAACATTGCCCTTTTTTGGACGAACATAGATGAAGATGGAGCTCCCATAATAAAGTGTAACCACTGTGATATGGGAAACACAGGTAGAGAAGGCCTTTTGCCGTCCCTGGGTGGAAGGAATCCTAAGGATAGTAATGACAATGTAGGTGTAAGACACTGCTGTCAAAAGCAGGGAACCCAAGAGCAATACAGCAGAAGAAATGAAGTCAGCCAGCTCAGTCAGAGAGATGTCTGCACAGGCAAGCTTTAGCACTGGGGCACTGTCACAAAAGAAATGATTGATTATGTTTGGTCCACAAAAGGGCAGAGATGCCGTTAAGATTGATGATACAAAAATTGCCAAAAATGCACCTAGATATGATCCCAGAAGCAAAAATATACATGTTCGTTTGTTCATGATCATGGTATATCTTAGTGGATTGCAGATAGCAACATATCTATCAAAGGACATAACAGCCAGAATGAAGAACTCCGTGGATCCCAAGAGAAAATAGAAGAAAGACTGTGTAAGACATCCCACGAAGGATATTGCTTTGGTGAGTGAAAAAGTGTTGGCTAGCATCTTTGGTACCACTGTGGAGGTGATGGTGACTTCAAGGAAAGAAAGGTTGGCTACAAAAAAATACATAGGTGAATGCAGACGATAGTCAACACACACCAAGATAATAATCATAGTATTGCCAATCAGAGATATAATGTACATGAAAAGGAATGCAACAAAAAGAAGTATTTCTACTTCTTTCTCATTCTGAAACCCTAGAAGAATGAACTCCGTGACTCTGGTCTTGTTTCTGTGATCCATAATGTTCCCAGTTCAACTGGAATAAGAAAGACACAAATTTATGTTTGGTCTACACATCATAGCACTAAACAATCCCTACCTAAATCTTTAAGAGATTTTAAAAAGGCAAATGATTATTTTCTAGGATATAAATACTTGAGATAAATTTTGAAAAATGTAAACTTTCAGATGTGATATTCACTCCAAACAGTAGTAACACGTGGATAGTAACATTTTGATAACTGAAATTTGAAATAATCTCTGAGGGTACTCTAATTTTATGTAACCTAGAAGTGTATTTAGTCGATTCCATATAATATGAAATCATCAGACAATATCTTTGATATTCCATGCAAGTTTTACTCAGTGTAATACAGAAATGGCTGCAAGCATACATTGACATAGAATTTTTAGAGGTTCAAGCCAGATTTAGAAGAGGATGTGGAATGAGGGCCATCGTTGCTCATGTCTGATGGATCTGGGCTGAAAGAAGACAATGCCAGAAAGATGTTTACCTGTGCTTTATTGACTATGCAAAGGCTTTCAATAGTGCGGATTATGACAAGCTAGAGACAACATTGGAGTCCTAGTGTGGTGCTGTGGGTTAATGCACCAGACTGCAAAACCATTTGAACTGCAAGTTTGGTGGTTCAAGCTCACCAGTTGCTCCTTGGAAACAGGGTTGCTATGAGTCAGAATCGACTCAACGGCACTTAACAACAAAAATAAGATAGACAACATTGCAAAGTATGAGTATTCCGGAACACTTAATTGTGCTCATGAGGAATCTGTACCTGGACCAACAACCATTTTTTCCAAACAGAACATTGCAACACTGAATGGTTTAAAATTAAGAAAGGTGTGCAACAAGGTTATATTCTTTCATCACACTTGTTAAACCTGTATGCTGTGCAAATAATACGAGAAGAAAAATGTGGCATCAGGATTGGAGGAAGACTCATTAACAACCTGCAATATGCAGATGATACAACCTTGCTTGCTGAAAGTGAAGAGGACTTAAAACACTTACCGATGAAGATCAAAGATCACAGCCTTTGGTATGGATTACATCTCAATGTCAAGGAAACAAAAATCCTCACTACTGGACCAATAAACAACATCCTTCTCAAGGAGAAAAGAGTGAAGTTGTCAAAGACTTCATTCTTCTTGGATCAACTACCAACATTTGTGGAAGCAGCAGTCAAGAAATCAAATGACATACTGCATTAGGCAAATCTGCTGCACAGGAACTTTTTAAAGTGTTGAAGAGCAAAGATGTCAGCTTGAGGACTAAGGTGCTCCTGAGCCAAGCCATGGTATTTTCTATAACTTCATATGCATGATACAGCTGGACAATGAATAATGAAGACTGTAGAAGAATTGATGCTTTTGAGTTATGGTGTTGGAGGAGAATATTGAAAGTGCCATGGGCTGCCAAAAGAACAAACAGACCTGTGTTGGTAGAAGTGCAGCCATACTGCTCCTTGGTGGCCAGGATGGCCAACTTTTATCTCTCATATTTTGGACATATTGTCAGCAGGGACCAATTGCTAGAGGATATCATGTTTGGTAAGATGGAGGGTCAGAGGAAAAGAGGAAGACCCCCATCAAGATGGACTGGCAAAGTGACAGCATCAATGGGCTTAAGCATGGCAATAATTGTGAGGTTGGCCCAGGACCGGGCAGTGTTTCATTCTGTTTAGTACAGGGTCACTATGAGTCGGTATGGACTCGATGGAACCTAACAGTAACAATAACAACATGTCATATGAAAAAAAACAAAAAAACAAAAACTTATTTAAAGATAACTGAATGTAATCTTGTAAAAAATAGGCATTTTCCTGAAATCTCATATACTCAATGACTCCAACCTCTCCATTGCTAATTTAGCTATTAAACAATGAGATGCAAGTCTTAGTTCATCTCCACAGGAATCATACTTGATTTTCATTGATATTTCAAAGGTAAGGTTAAGCATGAATTTCGATATTTTTACTTTTGAAAGCAGTTTATTCTGTTTGACTATATTTCTCCTGGAATTTGGCAGAAGCTCAAATGTCTAGTAACAGCAGCTGCCAAACTGAACTTTGAAATTTGAATATTCCTGAGAGAGGTAAAAACAGAGATTTTTCAGCTCTCAACATAATTCAATGTATACAAATTTATAGAAAACAGGAACCTTCTTGCAGAGAGATTTTATTAATTAACTAAGCAAATATTTTAAAGTATGTATATTGCAACATAAAGCTAATTAGTTAAAAGCAAGATTACAAATACAAGAAGGGAATCTTTTCAAATTTCAAATTAAAGATGCAAATTGCCAGTTGTTGGAAAGCTAATTTTGGATGATAGTGCATTTTCTTTGCTTCTTTGTAATAGTTGTGGATAATGATGTCAGAGATTAGGTAAAATGTGTCAGTATATCTCAGATGTTTAGTAACAGAAATTAGGAAGAGAAGCATGAGTTCAAGCTGTTTTATGACTAAATCTTGCTATTATTTATTAATGAAACATTTATTAGTTCATTATTTTACTCATACAATGATTTTACATTCACTGCATAATATTTGTCACATAAACATTTCATACATTTTATGATTGATGTTGTTGTTAAGTAATGTTGAGCTAGTTCTGACTTACAGCAATCCTGTATAGGGTTTCTGAGGCTATAAATCTTTGTGGGAGTAGAATGCCTCATCTTTCTCCTGAGGAGCACTTGGTGGGCTCAAACCAGCCTTATAGTTAGCAGTCCTGTGCTTATCCTCTAGAGCCACTGGGCTCTCATATTTTATAAAGGAAGAAAAATAAATTTTTATCTAAGTTTCAGTTTAAAATTTTTTTTATTGTAACTACCTTTCTTAATACTATCAAATCAATTCAGTATTTTGATAATTAGAGCTAAACTTTTCTCTATGGTAATATATATGAAGTCCTATAATAAGACTGGAGTCCTGGTATGACGCTGTAGGATAAGCACTCAATCACAAAGTCGGTTTGAATCACAAGGTTGGTGGTTCAAACTCAGCAGCAACTTCTTGGAAACCTTGTTATTAAGGGTTTCTATGACTCGTAACTGACTCAATAGCAGTTACAGCAACAACAACAGTAATCAGATTACTCTACTATAATCATGCTAATAAAAATAAATCAGTGATGGTTTGGACTAAGGTATATTACAGGACAGAGCTTGGTTTTCAATGATATGATAAATGGTTATCCAAATATCCAAAGGTAAGTAATAATGGACATCTTGAGGATTCATGGAGAGTGTATAGCAGCTGAAAGAAAGACTGATGTTAAACACTGAGGGGGAAAACAATAAAGTTCACTGGTCAATGAGATAAAAGAACATTAGATGTAAGAGAAGCATATTGTGTATACCTTACTTACATGCTGAATTACACCTCAGATTTTTTGGAGGGTGTTCAAATTCATGATTTCAGAGTCTTCCTTTTTCATTACCACACTGACTGTTTTTTGAGCTTGGAATCACTTCTACAAAGTAGTCACTTCTGATAGTTTTATAATATAAGGAAACAAAGCAGTAGATAAAATCGCCATAGCTATAGGAGAGTTTGTAAGGACTTTACTAAGAAATATGTGTCTTCTTGACTTGTCCTGTAACACAGGTACTCAGAATTATGACTTTTTTATGATCACTTCTGTAAATTATTGAAACTTGGAAAAGGAAGATAAGCATGAGTTCATTATGCAGTTTCCCTGGAGGCCTTACTTCTTGTGCATCACAGGTCCTGTGGGAATGAACTACAAAAACAATTATAATTGAAAGAAGAGTAAGTAAAAGTTTCCTAGATTGGAAAGTAAAGAAAGTGAATAAGCAAAACATACATAAAAAATGCATTGAACAAAAATACGACCAAATATACAAATGTTCTTTGGTCAAAGTTCAGACATTTTATTACAGTAAAATGTCATGTAAAATCACTGGTCTAGAAGGCATGATGTCAACTTCACCACTAGTACCATCATCATCATCACTGCTATCACATTTACTGAATACTTATTGCATATTATGCACTCTTTTAACAAGTGTGCTTTATAAAACTGTACCTCATGAAAGTCATATGAGACATGTCTGATTTATGGTAGTAATATATGGAAAAATATTGAAGTTGCCAAATTTGGTATTAAAAGTTTTGTGCCATCTTGTCTGGGCAAGGATTCTCAGTGGTTTGGCATTTCAAATTTAGCCATCCCCATGATGTGATTTGATGTGATAAACCAATAAATAAAAGGATTAAGGTGGAATTGTTGTTAAGTGCTGTCAAATCTGACTCATAGTGACCCTGTTCTGAAGAGACTTTGGTGGGTTTGATGCACCAACCTTGTTGATAGCAGTCCAGTGCTTATTCTGAACACTATACCAGGATTGAACACCACCCTTAATACTACCAACAACCTAGTGTGATTTAAGAGAGATTCCCACAGGTTTGGCATACAATACCTTTTATCTAATAAGAGACAAAATAAGAGGACTTGAACAGAGAAAGAGTGACCTGCTACCACCAGATTTGATCTACTACCACCAAGATTGAAGAGCTGAGAATGAAGTGTGTCCTTTGGACCTTGAGTCCCCAATATGTTAAGCTTCTAGATTCAGAGGAAGATTGATGCCAAGACACATGGAGAAATCCAAGGGATTCTTGGAATGAAGATGTTGAAAGGAGACACGGACCTATCTCCAGAGCTGTATCTCTGAATTCAGACTTCCAGTTATCTAAACTGTGAGAGAATAAATATTTGATTGTTAAAGCCATCCACTTGTGATATTTCTGTTACAGTAGTACCAGATAACTAATACACCAAGGATTTCACTTTACTTGAATGCAAAAGAACACCCATAAAAGTAGCAGTTAAGAATTCAAGTAATGTATTGAATTGGGCAAATATACTGCAAAAACAAAACAAAAACCCTCTTTAAAGTATTAAAAAGCAAAGACACTACTTTGAGAACCAAGGTGACTTGCAATCACTTCATATGTATCCAAAAGCAGGACAAA